GTCAAAATAAGGACTGGGGCGCGCAGCGCTGATGGTTTCCATGTCTTCGTTTCTAATTCTACGTTAACATAGCCCATTGTCCTAGGTGACCCAACACTTGTAACGTACGTTCATGCTGTTCATTACGCTCAAAAATCGAAACGATGGTGTTTGACTTCTTACGTCCAATAGCATCCGGGGAGCTTGATCGCGCCACAGGCGCTAGACTGGCATCCATCGCGAAGAAAAGAATGCGCGACGAGCAGACGAAAAGAAGCGCGACGCGAGAAATGCAAAGGAACGGAAGTAGATTCAGGCATTCTACACGCTGAGAGGATAGATACTTAACAGCATTATCGTGGAGCATAAGCGCCCCCAAAACTCAAGGCGCGAGACTGCGCCGCAAAGATGGCTACCATCCAATCATTTAGCGACCGCAGGCCCGATTAGGGCAAGAACCACAACCTCGGAACGCGACGATTGCGGGCCGGCGCTGGAACATCCAATGCGATATCCGAGCTGTGCGGTAAGTGGATTCAGACTTTTCTGTAACAGTAAAAACGCAGGTACGGATAGCTATACTTGGGACATGTCGCGGAGATCTGCCGGTGTCGCAATCTTGGCTTCGCGACTAGCAATATTGAGACACCTGACCATTATGCAGCAGGAGCACAAGGTCATCACTTTCTGGAGGCTTTGCTGATGATCTGCTAATAGGCGGTTGTGTGTTGTCAACCGGGATAATCCTCAGCGGAAAGCCCCAACTTCACGTTTCCTGCAAAATTGTGAGCGGTGAAAAGCGACAGCGCGCAGTACTTACCACCATGTGCGTAAGTCAACAGTTGATACATCGATACCCAGATCCCGCAGCGCGCTAGTGTCCAGATGACAGTCGTAAGGCCTGATGGTGCCATCTTTTGGTTCTTCGTCAGGTTTGAAGGGCTCCATATTGTCGAGCGGCAAACCCATGATATCGGAGAATGTTTGGCAGATCTGCCATTTAGTCATGCGATCTTCCGAGCTGAACTGAAGAACATTGGGTAGCTCGCGCTTCCTACAACAGGGCGTCAGCACTGTATGAGAGAAGCATCTCTTCGATCGGAGACGCGGGTTTGGCTTACGCGTTCGCGGGATCAAGATACAGCTTCGCTATGTCGCGGCATACTCGGCCAACGTCTTGAGTGTTGGTAGGGTATCGAAGCGCATAGTCGTCGATTTGGATCTTGGGTTGGCCATGCTCTATCTGTTGGGCGTTCCACAATTGCGACATGAGGACATTGACTGCACTGTCTTTGGGCTCATCGCAGGATCCATACAGGACCGGTACTCGAAGAACGACGACTTTGTTCTTTGCGCCAGTCTTAGCAGCAACCTCAAGAACAGCCTGTTCGCCTTCCAGCTTGGTTTGGCCATACCTGGTCGAGGTTGTCAGCCGTGATCAGACACCCCGCCCAGCATTAACCTGGGATAGCGTTGTTTCTGGACAGGCTCGGAAGACATGAACGAACGACACAAGATCCGCTACGACTAGGTTGTGATACATCAAGACTTACGTATTAGGTGGGTTCGGCGTCGAATCTGTCCGGTAGGGAGCTTCTCCAGGTCTACCTCCAAACACGTAGTCTGTCGAGATGTATATAAGGAAGATTCCCCGAGAGATGGTAGCTTTAGCCAGCGCTCGACTCGCGTCTACGTTCAATTTTCTGGCTGCTTCTGGGTCTTTGGTGCAAGAGTCAGGGAAGCGGTTGGCAGCACTGTGGACGACGACTTTCGGGTTGACTTCATCAAGGACCCTGGAGACCTCATTATGATCCAATATGTCCAGCTTCACGACGTCTGGAGCAGTGATGCGATGCAGACCAGTGCCGATAGACTTCCAGCCATCTACCAAGAATTCTCGCTGCACTTGACGGCCGAGCAGACCACTAGCTTCGCTCTGCGGTCAGCTAGCAGTAACACATTCGTGGAGGCTATTTACCACCGGTGATCAATGCTGTCTGTGCCATGCTGATGCCACGCGCAATCAATGAGTTCTTGAGAAGTTTAGTTGCGGTGATGACGACAGCAGGGTGCATCTATGGCAGCTGCCGTGGGGCACCCCCAGGTCCGCGCATCATCACGTGCTACCGTAGCGAGACCCTGAATCCCTGCAAGCTCGCCGCGAGTGTCGGATTGTCGCGACGCAACAAGCAACCCACCGCTTACACGATCCATTCGCGCCCACCATGTCCACCATAGTCAAGGAAGCTTCCCAGAGCTCATACCCGTACGTCGGAGAAGCCGTGTTGATTGCACTAGCTAATTGAAGCAGCCCCGTCATTCCCAAAGACTTCAACGGCAACCAGCCAAAGACCATCCGCTTGTTCCCTCTCAGCAACTACACATTTGGCACCAAGGATGGCCAGCCCGAAGAGGACCCTTCGGTCCTTGCCCGGCTCAAGCGGTTAGAAGAGCACTACTCGGAGCATGGCATGCGACGGACCTGCGAAGGCATCTTGGTCTGCCATGAGCACAACCACCCGCACATCCTCATGTTGCAGATCGCAAACGCGTTCTTCAAACTGTATGTCTTCGCATCCTCCATCTTGTATCCCCACTGACGTCATGCAGACCTGGCGATTACCTCCGCGCCGAAGACGACGAGATTGAGGGCTTCAAGGCGAGGCTGAACGAGCGCCTCGCACCAGTGGGCACGCAATTTACAGGCGAAGGCGTAAACGACGAGTGGGTAGTTGGCGATACGCTTGCGCAGTGGTGGCGGCCCAACTTCGAAACCTTTATGTACCCTTTCATCCCTGCGCATGTCACCAGGCCAAAGGAATGCAAGAAGCTGTACTTCATCCAGCTTCCCCGTAGCAGTAAGTCGATTCGAGTCGCCTGTGTTCCACAATACGTACAATTGCTAATACTTCGCAGAGGTTCTCAGCGTTCCGAAGAACATGAAACTCCTCGCCGTTCCTTTATTCGAGCTCTACGATAATACCGCGCGCTACGGACCACAGCTTTCGGCTATCCCTCATCTGCTCTCCCGCTACAACTTCGAATTCGTCGACGAGGATGGCAATGTCGCAGCGTGCACACCTGGTGTAGGCCCGCCAGACGGATACCGGCCTCAGACCAAGGTCCTTGCAGGCGGCGATGGGGACGATACTACGATGGAGCAGAATGGGGAAGGTAGCGATATCACTCTTTCGTAGACCGCTTCCTTCATCATTTCGTTCTTTGAGTTTTATCTTGCTAATTCATACCCGGTGTCAGGCGTTACCACAGCGTAGGCATCAAGACTTTAGTGGTTTGGTTACGATGCCCAACTTTCGACGGGGATGCTCGATACTTCTTTTGTTCCTGGCCTGGTACGTAGAATGAGGAGGGGTGCATCATGTCGAGTCTTGACTATATCGTACGCGCTTTTGGTTGCCACGGAGCTGCAAACGTTACGCCAGGACAGTGCATAGCTAGGAGCATGGCGCACGTGATGAAGCTCATATCTCGAGGCCGTATCTCATCACTAATTCGCGCCATGCAAGTATAAGCGGTCTTTGCTTCCCAAGAATGAAAGTATATGATCAAGCGAAAACTTCCAGATAATGTTCTGTGCCAGGCCCACTAGTTCCGCAACAACCGGTACCGATGAGCCACTCAAAGCCTGCCTATTCCAAACCACGTCCATGCTAAAAGTTACCGTTAGATTGGAGCACTCGCGAAAGCAATGAAATCTGGTTCCAGATGCCCGAGCCAAGGGTACGAACAAAAGAAAGGCTTGTCTCTCACGAGGGCCTCACACATACGCAGCATACGACGAACCATTTTCAACTACTGGAAGCACATTCTCTTATTGCTTGGGTCGACCAGATTCACGTCTTGAAGGTCGTTAGATAACTCACTGTAATTTGCGACGCCATACACACGACTGGCTGGTGATCCTCATAACCTGAGACCACTTGCAATTCGCCTTCGTTCTCCTATGAGATCCCGGTAATGCTAATTCTGTCCATGCATAGCCATGGTTCTGCAACAGAGCGATGGAGAATTCTCGTTAGTTTACCACCGTCTAGAGATCTCTATTCGACTCCTCTTCATATAAGAACCTGCACATCCCTCCTCTCACATCCTTTCCCTCTCACCATATAGCAGTAACTTCCAGCCCCAACACAAGTCAATCAAATCTCAGGAAGAAAGACCTCACACAAATGTACGAACAGCTTCCCCCTTATCTATTACAACTGGCTAATACATCATAGTTTCAAAACGATACCACTCTCGTACTACCTGCCTCATCCTCTTGCTTGCTAATACTAACTAAGTCTTCTAGGCCCTTGCCAAAGATGCGTCTTCTCCTCTCCGTCGCCGCCGCCGTGGCCCTCTTGGCGACTGCCACGGTCGCCCACAGCGGCAAAGACAGGATCGTTTGGCACGAACGCCCGGTCAAGGAGCAGCACGGCTGCATAGTGACCTGCAAGAAGTCGTCCGATCAGCCATCGGAGTTCTACAGGACACAGTGCGCTGTCTGCATGGACAGAATCAGGAACACCGTGTGCGCTGATTGCGCAGCAGCATATCGGGATGGAGTCCCGTTCGACAAGTCTGTAGACCGCTGTTACCGATGCCGTCATGTATCGGACTACGACTCCTCCTCTGAGTTCGACGAGCCTTGGGACAAGGATGGCGGGTTCTTTTGGCCCGGTCCCGAGGGCCCCGAGGACTGGAAGTTTCCAAGCTAGAGAAGTTTGAGATGCTTAGGAGGATTCATGAAGGGGATGAATGGCTACCACGCGCAGTGGTTTTCGAACAGTGGATGAAGACTTTTCCACTGATGGGTATGGGTCACGACTAGCATAGTACCACAAAGCTAGAACAAATTGTTTGGTACAATAGTGAGCCTTAATGAGTGATTTAATTGCGAAGAAACGAAAGAACACTTGAAAGAAACTTGCTCTTCATCGCAACGACCACATCTACGGCATCTTCCCAGAGGACACACCTCTCTTGATGCAATTGGGACAGTAACGCGACTGATGCCCTTAGACCCTAGGGCAAGTGATGCTGACCGACGCGAACAACTCACTAGTGCACATCTTGTTAAACGGCGTCATACTGCTGCCTCTGCAATCACTACCGCTATGAATCGTAGTCGTGCAATGCCTACAACAACGAGACCACACGTCAGTTCATATACTTTGGAGCAGAATCTGAAAGACGTACCCGATATCAGACTCGTACCATGCGAAGATTGATCCAACATTCTGATACGGAATGCATCTGTCCTCGCCGGGAAGTACGTAGATGTTCCAAGCAGGACCGTCGTTTTGATCGCACTCGCGGTTGCTGAAGATCCAAATTTTGGCAAGATTCTTGGGCAGGTTGCCGGATAGTGCGTCGCGGCCTAGCTCGCCTGCCACTGCGTCTAGTACTGGCAGTGCTTCTGACAGTAGTGCGGGTGCTGGGTTGGCCATGGATGTTGCTACCAGAGCACTGAGGCTGAAGAGGAGGGGAGAGAAGTGCATGGTGGCTCTCTTGTAATGTGATGGCTCCAGTAATGACGTTCCAAGACTGCTGTGATAGGAGCTCCTGGTGAAAGTCGAGGCTGCGTATCTTATACGCGTAGCTTACCATGTCTCTAGTGCCATCTCCAGCGGGAAAGGTCCTTCGAGACATTTGTGAGATATTGGCAACACTTACCATGAGTATAGGGAACGTTTCAAGTCGATAGTTTAGCGATCGTGAAAGCCCTGTTCGTGCTGATCAATGTTATGACGCCTTTCTGCTTCGGCGCATCGTGAGTGCCGCCTCATCCTACATTTCGCATAGCCCTATTCCACATGGAACGCCAACACTCTATCTAAAACAGATCGTAAACACATCTGGCCTCGTAGGCAGTAGCTCTTAAGTGTGTATGTCTCACAGTGTCATTTCGTGGTTGTAGATGTCGAGTTCGGTAGCAGGCCTCGGAGTCCGAAGAACAGTGACAGTAAGTGGGGCTAGAGCGTATGGTGACAACTGGGAAACACGATTTGCTGAGAGCGTACAATTGGTTCAAATGCGATTGCATGCAGGTTAAGGAGCTGACAAAACCTGGCGTACACATTTCGTGGACAGCGTCAGACAACTTACGGCAGGCATGGTGTCACTGGCCTCTGCGAACTAGCCCAGCTAGAGCCTATGTTCCCATCTCGACAACACATGTGTCATTTGTAACGTGTAATACAGTCAGTACAATCTGCCTTCTTGCAGCATATTAGCCGAAAGATGCGATGAGGTTTAGATCCTTGAGGGATGCTGAACTACCGGGATGTGCAAAGTCAGGCAAACTTGGTTGAGAAACCACTCATCTATACAAAGAACTCTTGGCAGGAGGATAATGTTCTGATTGCTTATCTTCTGTGCTCATAATATACATTATCTTGTAATATACATTATATACTAACTATGTATGGAAATGAGAGACTTGTGGGTTAGGCTAATGTGATGATGACGTATGAAAGCGAGTGGTGCGTAAAGAGCGTTGCGACATCCAGTATGTGGGTCTACCCGTGCCACGGTAAACTCATGGGAGTACGATCTGTACAGTCCGGGCGATGCTAGGGACTCCCTCCTTCGACATGACAAAGACGTAGTAGGCACCTGGGATGAGAATGCCACTGTCGTCAGGCAGTGTAGCAGTGTAACTGCATCCATCACCCTTGACATTCGTCAGGGGCACGCGGCGCTGATCGGTGTTGACGGAGTGTGTGACGCTGCCGATGCGGACCAAGGCGAACTTGAGGCCTGGTGTAGATGTCTCGACTTGGATGGTCAGTTTGCCTCCAACCTTGACGCTCTCCACGCTCAAAGAGCTGATGACTGGTCGGGTTGCGGGGGTACCGTCGTTGTTGAAGAGGTATGGCGGGGAAAAGATCTGGCCATCGGCATGGTCGACGAGTTTGTTGCAGTTGGCGGAGCTGCGGCCAACTCCCTGCGCGACGTAGCAGAGACCACCGCCACCGGAGAAAACGCGTCCATCAGCTAGCAGGATACTGACTGAATGATAGTTGCGAGGGACAGCTTGTGGTGCTAGAGTCTTCCAAGATTTGGTGGCTGGGTCGAACAGTTCTGGGTAGAGAGCTCCGTCCGTATCGGTGAAGACCAATGAGCGCTTTTGACCACCGCTGACGAGAACTTTTCCGTCAGGCAGAACGACCGCGTTGGAGAAACCGCGAGGGTAGGCCATGTCCGCGACTCGCTCAACCTTGGCAGGCGTGTTCGGCTCGCCGATGGTAGTGATATGGGCCCGAGCATTGGCGTCTGAGTTGGTGTAGTCAGGCGCGCCGCCAGCACTCAAGATCTTGCCAGCAGTGGCATCGTACATGACGAAGATTCCACACATCGCATCATCAATAGGGTCACGAATACCAGCAGCGACTTGCGATCCAGTTCCCTTGGTACCATACCAGTTCATGGCCTTGCTTGGACCGGCCTGGAAAACGGAGGCGTTCTTCCAACCAAACAACCATGCATGATTGTCTTCACGCCAGATGCCTTCATGGTCGGTCGTGAGCATAGCCTTCATCTTCGCGTTTGGCAGCGCGGTCCATGTGTTGGTGGCAGGATCGTAAACTTCGCCGTCTTTGCCCTTGCGTGGACCAGAGTATGCACCTCCGATGGTGAAAACGCGGTTGTCGGATGTCGTCGTGGATGATTGGTAGCCGCGAGCCATTTTCCTAAGTACTGTCAGTATGAAGTTCACACCATTGAGCTAGAAGAGACTAACATATCGGGTGCACGAGTGAATCCGTTGGATGCTGGATCGTAAAGACTGGCCGCTGAAGCGTCAGATCCTCCTTGGATCAGAAGCTTGCCGTCCTGAAGACTGCTCATTGCGGGACAGAACATGTCGTGATGAGTGTTGCTCACTGTACGAGCTGAGACAGCACCACTGAGAAAATGTTAGCGTGCGTTGTTAATACCGGACCAGTATGACTTACGTGTTGAAATTGTAATCCGCAAACTGAGTGCGTCCACCAGCACCTCCGAAAGCATCAGCACCCCAGCTCGAGAATACGAGAAGACGTTCCGAGACAGGGTATTCCGGGACGACATATGCAGCAACGGGGATGACGGGCAGGCGGATAAGATCTGACCATTCACCATCCTTCGCAGGCGCAGGTGCTACATTGAGACGCATTACATCGAAGCGTTTGTCGGTTGACCAGATCAAAGTGTTACTGCGTGAGTCGGCTTTGATGTGGCAAGCCTTCTTGGCAGAGTCGTAGACAGCGGCGGTGCATGTTGCCCAGTTTGCGCAAAGGTAGGCACAGGTATCGAATGTGTTCACGCCCTGCCATATCTTCTCGCTTGGTCCGCGGATGTCGGTGCCGGGGCAGATGCTGTATTGTTTCTAGCGGTGCAATGTTAATATCCGCATATCTCGAGCCATTGGGGATCAGACTTACCCTGTTTCTGTGATACGTCCATTCGCCAGCAGGGCAGCGAGCGATGTTCACTTGCTCTGCTTGGATGACCTGGAAGCGATCGTTGGCAACCCAATTCAGACCGGCAAGATCCTTGAAGTGGCAATCCTTCGTCTTGGTATCAAACACTGCCTTGAAGCAGTCCATACTCTTGTCGCAGAGTTTTGCACATGCTGTAACCGAAGCAACGCGCTTGATCGAGGTCGTAGGTCCAGTGAGGTCGGTGCCAGGGCAAACTCGATACCTGATGCCTTCCGCTCCAGTAAAGATATCGTCGTTGCCGGGGCAAGCATTAAGACCGTGGGTAAATTGTAAAAGAGTGGCTGCCGAAAGCACGGCGAAAAGAGTGCGGACCTGCATCTTGGATGTGAAATCAGACAACTGGCCTGGGGCAGGAATCGAAGGACTGGCATCAACTATCTATATACCCGTCCCAGCCACGATCCCATCTCGGTGACCCGCATAGGAGTTTGCAAAAATGGATCCCAGTGAAACGAACGAGGGGATTGTAGACCTAGCATCGAAGAGGATAGCGTACTGCCAAGATGGGAACCGTTCGTGAGTAGCTACCCTGTATATGCTCACCTATATATTGTATTTTAGTATCTTCGATAGCGCTGATGGCACCAGATCCGGACCTGACAGGGGATTCATGTCAACGGTAACGGGCCGGGACACCCAGGCAGGTTAGCGATGATGCCACTATCGGTATGCTCGGTGTTCCTGGAGTCATGCTTTCGACTGCGCCTCAAGCAAAAGATCGAATGGATCTCGGCTCCTGGGTCGTGATGTGGAGTGTCGCATTGCTGTAATGAGTTGTTATGCTGATGCGATAACACCTTTCCCCATTTTTTATGGGGACGTGTGCTCTTTCCTCTAACAGAAAGATGTACCTGACAACATTGTAGACATCCTGAATGGCCTGCTGCGGGATTGCGGCGATGGTTCTACACGCGCCAGCTGGCAATTATCGATTCCTTGTCAGGCTGCTTGAAACGCCAAGGCCAACGCTCCACCCCACCCCTGCGCCCATCAGGGAGACGTTATCTACAAAAAAAGAACTTCATGTGAATAACCACCGTCAAAACTCCGCCCCTGTTCCCAGCGCATGGGAATTGCAGGAATTGCAGGAACAGCTTTATCGGAGGTATCGTGGCGGATCCACACGATTTAAAGCCGGCTTAATAAAGTGCGTTCGATCTCAGTAACGCAATCCATCGTAGCTGCGAGGCATGACGTTGAACAGTGGAAAGTGACGGCTGTCGGCACAACGGCCGGAGTGCAGGAGGCGATTGGGGTATCCTGGTGTGAATGCGGCTAGGTCAGCCGAGACGATGGCGGCGCTCGCACTGGATTTTTGACTCGGAACTGAAAGGGAGGTTCGGTGAATCTGTTGTGACAGCTGAGACACCCTGGTTGTCACCGCTCGAGTCAGTCTATTGATGCAACGAGCGTTTCGTCTTGGCGATGGCTCCTATGGGGCAAAATCACGTGTCGTATGAGGTACTCATCGAACAAGAGGATCTATGTGCGAACACTGTAGATTCACCAGCCCTGACCGGGCATGCCAGCCCAAGCCGGGATTGGCCAGTCCCATGGACTACCATTGTAGTTCATCGAAGCTTGTTCCATGGGGAAAGCCACGCAGCCAAGATTCATGCCACCACGGGTAACGCTCGATTGGGAGCCGAGAGTGTCCAAACTAATGAGCTCGGACGTTTGTGGATTATCAGGACCTGGTGTCTGGAATTGCGACTCTGCCGCTAATTTGTCCCTTAGGGCCATCTTTTGTCTGATTTGCGTCACGATAGCAGGTGGATCCGATCGTTCGGACGGTATTGCTTCACGTGCCGACCAAGCTTGTAGAACAAGCCCCCCGAAGAGTGTGAAGAAAGGGTTGTTGGGTTTGGTCTCCACCGGACTGTCCTTTTTCTCGAGGTCCATCAACCGAGCGGCGCAGTTCTCGCTCATTGCCTGCCACAATCGATCTGCGAGTTGGCCTAGTGGGCGTATCTTCAACTCTTGGGCGAGATGAATATATGCAGGGAACGGGAAGTGCATGTAGACGATCCAGCGAAAGCTTGCTATGAGGGGCGAGGTCATCAGCAACGTATCGTACTCAAGCATACGGCGCGCAAATCCAAGACCAACGTCGCGCTGCTCCTCACTTCCTTGCGAAAGTCCCTTCGAGTTGGTTGATAGGTATTGTGCAAACCCGATCTTTGCAAGTGATGCGCGCGCCATCCACATGGTCAGAAAGTGCAGCGGGTTTTGAGTATCGCAATGCGAAAGAAACTTTTGCTCTATCGTTGACTCAAAAGCAGCAAGTTCGTCAAGCGCTGAATAGGAGGCATCAAATGCCTTCTTGGAGAAGGACTTGAGGGCCGGATTGATGAAGTCCAAATGAGATGTGCTTTGACGAATGAACTCGCCAATCTGACTGCGGATGACTGGAAACAAGGCTTCGGAAATGACCCCAGACTCAACAGGAGCGGTCTTGGTCTCGACTCGTAGGTTGAAATCGTTAACATTGAGCGGAGCTTTGCAGTCCCATGTCGGGAGTAATGTAGTGGACTTGCTCTCGGTCATTTCAGACATCCTGTTGTCAAACAGTGAGAGAGACCACCATAGTCTTCTGCGCAATTCGGCCTCTAGTACGCAATGCTTAGAATTGGCAGATTCGGCATCGATACCCATTCGCTGAGCAATGCGAACAGCAGCCCCTAGCATGGAAGACAACGACCGTGGGTCTGTGTCTGGTTTGAGCGAGACCAGGTAGAGATGAAGAGCTGTTAAGCACTCTCGATCGCTGGACTTCAAGAAGTTACAGTTCAGCAGAGCTTCTCTTGCACCCAACTGGTAAGATCTGATCAGGTCCGGCTTAGGCCTACCAAACCAGGATTGACACTGCTCCTGGTTGAGGCTGAAAACAGCCATGCAATAAATGGAGAACATTAGGGCCTCCAAATTTGGATCGATTTGTGAGATGTCGCTAGCGGCATCGATAATGCGTGGCTGGAGGGTAGGCGTATGAGTGAGCTTCATCAATGGGTCGACATTCTCAAGGTACAGTTGCCAAAGTTTGAACACCTGGCTTTGCGGGGGATGAAGAACGGATAGGTCCACGACCGTACTACGTGAGCAGAACAATAGGTCTTCGCTACGGTGGAGTGTCTGCGCATAGAGGTTATCCCAGGCTTGCACAATCTGCGCTTGCCGTAGTGCGTGTTGCGAAGAGCCGCTGTTCTCGGAATCGTCGTCGCTGCCGTCGTCATCAGCATCGTATGCTGATCGATTTAAAGCACGCCAAAAACTCCTGGCACAGTTAGTAGTGTCTTTTCCAAGTGATACAGTTTCTGTGTACTTGGGTTGAGTGTTGTCGGTATCTGATGTCGTGGACGATTGCGCTCTGGCAATCTCCTGTCCATGACTGGCGTTACTTTCGTGAGGCCCTGTGGATAAGTTCGAAGATGCATGTAAGGGTTGGAAGGCAATGCCGTTCGTCTTCAAGAGGTCTTCGTAGTGGCGAAGACGCTCTAGTAACTCCCGTTCGGCAAATCTGCGACGCCGTTGCCGTGGTTGCGTCGCTGCAGAAATGCATTGCACGCCCGCTTTCTTGCAGTTTGAGCAAGGGAAATTCCGGTCACATTTGACCTTCCTTTGCGCGCATAGCACGCACGATAGCACGCGCTGTGACTTGCTTGCATGCGCTAATGGAGACAGTGCATCAGCACTGAGTTCAGGTGTGGGTATATCAGACGACATGTCAAGGGAACGAGCTCTCTGTCGTGATAGCGGATTTGATCAGGTATGCGAGCGTAGAGTGTGAGGCCACCATGAGAGCAGGTGGCGAGGCAGGTGCTAACCAGGCAGCCAGGCAACCAGGCGCGAGGCGCTCGCCTGGACTCTGCTTATCCCGGGCTGACTGCAACGAAAGAGCATTGTGGCTTCATGTGAGAAATGTGGGCCCTTGCGACGAAGAGGGCGGTTCGCAGGATAGCAGGCAGGCGCAAGAGGGTGCCCAGGCTCGTCACCACCGTGACGCGTGAGGCTTACGTAAACCGCACTTCCCGCTTCAGTCGCGTTCCTCAACCATGTTCACTTCTTTCTCTCGTTCCAGCAGTGGCGACATGGCGTCCATCGAAATATCTCCGCAATCTTCGCATTCGTTCACGCGTACTATCTCCGATGTATGGAGTTCATGTGCGATCCGCGATGGCGTGGTGACGCGCATCGACGCCTCAGTAAGATGCGGCAAGCCTCTCGGTCAAATCTAATCCCCGAGCCCATCACGTGCTCTCTTTCCTCTCCAACACCAACTCTGGGCATTCAGGACATTGAATTGTTACAACACATCGAATCGTTAGTATGCGTTCGGAGAAACTCTGGTATCCTCTACCCGTCCTGAATCACGCATCACCATGCAACAGGTCGAAGTTCGCTTCCAAGTTTTGCGTAGACCGCCTCCATGTCGGACATTTCTACTTCCCGAACGGGATTGTATTGCAAAACACCATTCGGGACGTTGCACATACCGAATGCACATATAACAGCCAAGCTTCTCTTGACAGTGTTTTAGTGCATCCAATCTCAAGTTTCTCTCCAAATCCCACTGCGCCTATTCCAAGGTTTTCGCCATGACGACAGCATCTCAACTTGGGACTACAGTGGCCCAGCCCGCTAGTTTGCACGAAGATCTTGGAAAAGATGTCTCAAATTCAGCCTCTGGAGCCAACGAGTACGCAGATTCCGAGGAAAACTATAAGCCCAAAACGCTCAAGTTTTGGCTCGTCATCATATCGATCTATCTGGCCTTCTTCCTCGTCGCTCTCGATCGTATGATCATTGGTACGTTGAGCCCTTCCATCTCCGGTCCATACTAACCTTCTTTAGCTACTGCTATACCAGCAATTACAAACACGTATGGAACCATCGCGGATATTGGATGGTACGGCAGTGGCTATATGCTTACGTGCGCAATCTTCAATCCACTCTTCGGCAAGATATACCAGCTTTACGATACTAAATGGACGTTTCTGGTATCAATCTTCCTGTTTGAAGTCGGCAGTGCATTGTGTGGGGCCGCACCTACCTCTGTTGTTCGTAAGTAACCCACCAAGTCGCAAGATGATACACTCGCTAACCATCATTGAAGTCATCGTCGGTCGCGCAGTCGCTGGCATTGGAGCAGCTGGGCTTCAGTGCGGTGCGGTCATGATCATCGTACCTCTCGTACCACTGCGAAGGCGACCCATTTTCACTTCCTTTCTCGGTCTCGCATTTGGAGTGTCATCTGTATTGGGGCCCTTCATTGGAGGCACCTTCACGGATAACCCGTAAGTCTCCCGACTTTCTTCATTAGTCACGATTAACACGCAAATAGGACTTTGACCTGGAGATGGTGCTTCTATATAAACCTACCCATCGGCGCCTTGACCTTCGCATGCGTGTTCTTCTTCCTGCATCTGCCTTCTGCGCCTAAAGAGAAGCTGTCCATTCTCGTTCAGCTCAAGCGCCTCGACCCAATAGGTCTTCTCTTCTTCGTACCTTCTATGGTATGCCTCATCCTCGCTCTCCAGTGGGGAGGTACGACCGATCCATGGTCAGCACCGAGAATCATCGGCCTGCTCGTCACGTTTGCAGTTACTTTCATCGCATTCCTGGTGGTGGAATTTACGATGCCAGATACAGCCATGGCTCCGCCTCGGGTTATCTTGAACCGCTCGATGGGCGGTGCCATGCTGTTTGTCTTCCTCCTCGCCGGAGGTATGATGAACGCTGTATACTACGTCGCCATTTGGTTCCAGGCAGCCCAGGGCCAGTCTGCCATGCAGGCTGGTGTACGCACGATCGCTTTATGCACATCGCTTATTGTCTTTGGCATTGTTACAGCGGTGGTAACTCAGAAGATCGGCTACTATGTTCCTGCTATGCTCCTTTCGGCCGTTGTCGCATCAATCGCCAGTGGCCTCCTTTCAACCCTTACGCCGGATTCGAGTGCTGGCGAATGGATTGGCTACCAAATCTTCTACGGGTGTGGACTTGGATTTGGGGCACAAACAGTGAACTTGGTGCCGCAGACTATTCTGCCGCGTTCAGATGTTTCCCTGGGCATGGCGATGAGTGAGTTTCTCTGTACAAACTGCATGTGAGACATACGCTGACTTCGTAAACCTATAGTATTCTTCCTAAATCAACAGGGTGGTGCTATCTTCCTTGCTGTTGGACAAAATCTGTTCTCAACTCAGCTTGTAAAGCAACTATCGGGCAACTCCGATCTCGATACCGAAGCAATCATCAACACTGGTGCGACAGATCTGCGGCAAGTGGTACCGGCGAAGGATATCGACACGGTGGTGTCAGCGTACAGTTACTCGATCACTCGGGCGTTCCTGCTAGCAGCAGCACTCAGCGCATGCATGATTCTTGGAGCGTTGATGGTGGAGTGGAGGAGCATTAACGAAGGCGCAGGGAAGTCGGCAAAACAAGCTTCAAAAGACGTAGAGAAGGAGGCTGCTTGAAGTCAAGCACCCTACATCTGAAATACATGGCAATGAGGCAATCGACGGCGTTGGGAACAGAGGAAATGTAACTGTAGAAGAGTGTAATATAGCGTCATAGAATCTAGTAGACAATCGATCGTTATATAATGAGTTTTCTCAAATCCATTGACACAAATCGACGAGCCATACCCCAGCTTCTTACAACTAATTGGCCAAATTACTAACATCAGCACTGCGCATCCTCTCCTTTGACACCAAGAGCTCTTTCGGAAACCACTCCGATAACTTCCCACTCGGCCTCCCCGGAACTTCAGGCAAGTCCTCATCCTCACTCCCAGCAATCATGATACCAAGCGCAGCACCCGAAAGCCAAGCCCACACCATACCTTCCCCGGAGAAGCCCGCTGCAATCCACTCTCCACACGAGCCCTTATCTGACAACGCGCGTTTGCTTCTCTTAGTATCTCGCCCGGTCAACTTTGCATCCAAGGGACCCACCAACGGCATGAAATCGCCAGTCAAACCAGTGATACCAGACCACAGTTGCTTCACCTCGGCGCCAGCACCCCACTTGGGATGAAAGACTGCTGGAAAGACACCCGAGATGTGTGCGGTGGTTAGAGGATCTAGTAGAGGTCCATCGTCGTACCGACCGACTTGATCAATGCCTTGCTTTAGCGATCGGAAGAAGCCGCCTCCAATCATCAAATCGCCTTTGGAACCGCTTGTGGCTGGGGGCCTTTGTGTGACGTAGTCGAAGCCCTCGCCGTAGACTACACTCCACGAGTGCATGCCGTCAGCATATGGGAATGCTTGTCCTGGTTGCTGCGCGGACATGTGGGATCGTGCGCCCACGATCTTGCTGCGTAGCCCTGGGACAAGATGACTCGCGAAGCCGTTCGTGGCGTGGACGATATGGCGGGCGAATATGGTGCCTCGGGTAGTTTGTACAGCGTATGGGAAGTCTTCAGGCGCCGTGTCTAGAATGCTAATTGACTCTACGGGAGTGTTCGTCTCGATAGAGAGTGCATCAGGGAAATCGTTAAGAAGATTGTTCCAGATGGATGCAACGAATCGGTATGCCCAGATCGCACCTGCTTGGTAGGATAAGGCACCGACGACGCTATTGTTCACGCCGAATTTCTATTTTCGTCAGCGTCAAGAGTCCCTTGGCTGGGTCCCAAGGGGTGTCATCGAACCTTCTGTACTTGGTCACCCTTCCATGCGGTAATCTCAACCTCCGGCAACCATTTCTTCAACTCCTCAACATCAGCGACAGCCTTGGAGAAACTGTGATTATCCAAAAAGAAATCGACAGTGTCGACCTTTCGAGCTTCGGCAGCCTCAATGCCTTCGGTGTCACATAACTCTGTCAAGTACTTGACATGTAGAAACTGGAAACGCGCCAGGGCAGCAGCACGATGTTTTGGTAACAGCTTGCTGAATCGAGAGAAGCTATCGTACACCGCAGGTTTGATGTGGCCGCCATTTCGAGCAGTCGCACCACTGCACAGCTGTCGAGCTTCGAGGACCACCACTTTCTCATCAGTGCGGACGTTGCGACGGTGTCGCTCGTGGAGTAGCGACCGTGCGACAGCAGCGCCAGCTATCCCGGACCCGATGATGACCACATCCGCGGTCTGCGGTAACTTGTGCGAACTTGCATCGCATAGTTGAGGGTGTGGGGGGTCGCTAAGCCAGTACGTTTGAGATGGCTTGGGGACCGGAAGACCCGGGGATTGCGATGCCCGCTTCAGAGCTTGATCGAACTCGGTTGACAAAGCTCTCAAGAGAGAAGCTGCTGCAATGAGAGTCTTGGCTGTGTTTTGCAGGATTGAGAGGACTACACCCATTTTGACTCAAGACTGAGATATCTGATTGCAAATCTGCTTGTTGTACGAGGATGGAGAGCCCCTGTCATGATTTCCTTGGCAAAGTGGATGCCCAACACGATGTACGAAACAACAGAATACCTCGCCTCTGGCAAACAGTCGTTCGGATGCTGTAAATCTATCATTTCCGTATCGTAAATGCCTATAATAACCACCCTAAACGCCAGCCGTCCCATGCATACCTAGTCGCGTCTCCCGTCAAGCGTGCTCTAGCCGACCCATCGCCTAGCACTCTTGAACATGCGTGACCACGGGCCAAGTTCGCCCCATCCTTCTACGTCTCGCGGGATATAGCTTCCAACCTCCTTCAAGATAGTGCGTTCGGGGTGCGGCATCATCGCCAATACCCGGCCATCGGTACTCCTCACACCGCTGATACCCATTGGACTGCCGTTCGGGTTGTATGGGTATGTCTCGGTTTGCTTTCCGTAGTTATCCACGTAGCGGAACGACACAAGGTTTTCGTTGTATAGCGCCTGTGGGCTCGAAACTGAGGAAGCAGAGTTGGAGAAGTGAGCGCGTCCCTCGCCGTGCGCGGTGACGATGGGAAGTTTGGATCCAGCCATGCCATGCAGGAAGACAGATGGCGGTGTATTGGGTCCCTTGGGATCGAGCACTTCGACCATGCAGACACGCGCTTCGTATTGCTCAGACGCATTACGCTCGAAGCTGGGCCATAGCTCCGCACCAGGGATCAACTCCTTCAACTTGCTCATGAACTGGCAGCCATTGCAGACTCCAAGGGCGAAAGTGTCTGGGCGCGCGAAGAACGTTTGGAATTCTTTGCGAGTGTTGGGGTGCAAGAGGACGGACTTTGCCCAGCCTTGGCCTGCGCCAAGCACGTCACCGTAGGAGAAACCACCGCACGCCGCGATACCCACAAATCCAGCGAGCGATACGCGCGAAGAGATGATGTCGGTCATATGTACATCAATGGCAGTGAATCCAGCCTGGTGGAAAGCAAATGCCATCTCGGCTTGGCCGTTCACACCTTCCTCGCGAAGAATGGCTACGCGGGGCTTGGCGGTAAAGGGTGACTTGAGGTTGGACATGAAGGGTAGAATATTTTCGGCAGGCTTGAATTTGAGGTTGTACGACAGGCCTGGGTCTTTGTCGTCGAGGATGTTCTTGAACTCAGCATCAGCGCAAGCAGGGTTGTCTCGGAGCTTTTGCATGCGGTATGACGTCTCTGCCCAGCGCTGCTGGAGCTTCTGGCGTGTGCTGCGGTAGACATTCTGGGTGCCGACATAGAAAGAGATGTCTTGTTTTGTGGCCTCAGGTACGCGACCGATCTTCTTGATCATACCTGGAGGCGGCCCGCAGGTGGCGAAGCAGCGGTTGAAGGCAACTTCGTCCTTTTTCCTGATCTGGAAGACAGCTCCGAGCTCTTCGTTGAATAGCGTTTCCAGAACATCCTTGGGTTCGCTTGACGCTGCGATGCCGTCGAGCATGACCTCAATACCGCATCGTCCGGCAAAGGCCATCTCAACAAGGGTTGTGAAAAGACCACCGTCAGACCTGTCGTGGTATGCAAGCACAATATCCGACTCATGAAGTTGTTCGATCGCATCAAAGTAGTCCTTGATGATATCGGCGTCGTAAACATCGGGTGCTTCATCACCAATCTGCCCGAATGTTTGTGCAAGGGCAGAACCGCCCATGTGTTTCTTCCCTGCTGCGAGATCGACGAACATCAGGACAGTTTCACCGACATCCTCCACTCTCTCCAGAGCGGGTGTCCATGTTCGGTCAGTGCGGTTGACGGGTGCGAAGGCCGTGATGACGAGCGACATGGGTGCTGTGACTTCCTTGGCCTCGCCGTTGTCGGACCACTTCATCTTCATGCTCATCGAATCCTTGCCGACGGGGATTGAGATGCCAAGCTTAGGGCAGAGATCCATGCCGATAGCTTCGACGGCTTCGTACAAGGCTGCACCCTCTCCGGGATGGCTACTTGCAGACATCCAGTTGGCCGAGAGTCGGACTCTAGATAGCCTATCGAAGAGGCTTGCTGCAGCAATGTTCATCAGAGACTCTGCGACTGCCATCCTGGCAGACGCGGCCGGCGAGATGAGCGCCAGGGTAGGCTTCTCGCCCATAGTCATAGCCTCGCCAGTCCTGACACCAGCCAGTAGCGATGTAGCTGTTACCGATACATCAGCTACAGGGACCTGCCATTTGCCAACCATCTGATCACGGACAGTAAGGCCACCAACGGTGCGATCTCCGATGGTGATCAAGAAGGACTTGGAGCCTACGGCTGGTAGGGTGAGAACTCGGTCTACGGCTTCGGCGATCAAGCCATCCTTGGGTGTGTCGGGGATGTACATTGACAAGCTGCTGTCAAAGGCGGGAAGCCTCAACTTGCGGCTCTCGACGATGCGGGACATCTTTGGTGGCTTGCCGAAAAGTGTGGCCATTGGAAGATCGATGGGTGTAGGGTTCTCCTTGGAGTCCCTGTCGTTCAACACGAGACGCTGCTCCTTGGTAGCCTTGCCAACAACGGAGTAACCGCATCGCTCACGGTGGCAGATGCGCTTGAACAAGTCGAGTTGGTCAGGGCTGACTGCAAGCACATAACGCTCCTGAGCCTCGCAACACCATATTTGCAGTGGGCTCATGCTCTTGTCAACATTGTCGATCTCGCGTAGCTCGAAGATGGCGCCGAGACCAGAGTCGTGAACGAGCTCGGGTAGCGCGTTGGACAGACCGCCAGCTCCGACGTCGTGAATGAAGAGGATGGGGTTCTTGTCGCCCATAGAGCGACACGCGTCGATGACTTCCTGCGCGCGCCTCTGCACCTCGGGGTTGCCCCGCTGCACACTGGCAAAGTCAAGGTCGACCTTTCCTTCGCCGGACTGAATACTGGAAGCTGCACCGCCACCAAGTCCGATGAGCATGGCGGGTCCACCGATAACGAGAAGGTGCGAGCCAGCGGGTACAACGTCAGGGTCCTTGAGCGCGTGCTGCGGCCTGACGGTGCCCACACCACCTGCCAGCATGATAGGCTTGTGGTAACCCCGTAGCTCCGACTCCTTCTCGTTTGTGAAGACGCGCATGAGCATGGTGCGGAAGTAACCGGTGGTGCATGGGCGGCCGAACTCGTTGTTGAACTGGGCGCTGCCGATGGGTGCCTCGAGCATGATGTCCTGGCTGCTGGCGATGTGCGCGGGCTTTCCGACGTCCTTCAGCTCCCATGGGCGTTCGAAGCCCTCGATGTTCAGGTCGGAGACAGTGAAGCCCGCCAGTCCAGCCTTTGGCTTGGATCCACGTCCGACGGCTCCCTCGTCACGGATCTCGCCGCCAGAGCCCGTGGCGGCTCCTGGGAAGGGCGAAACCGCCGTCGGGTGGTTGTGCGTCTCGACCTTGCAGAGGATGTGTACCGTCTCCTTGGTGCCGTGCCACTCGCCCGTCAGGTCGTTGGGTGCCCAGAAGCTCGCCTCCTCGCCGTTCAAGACAGCAGCATTGTCGCTGTACGCGCTGACCACGTGCTTGGGGTTCTTCTGGTGGGTGTTGCGGATCATGCCAAACAGCGACATGGGCTTGCGCATGCCGTCGATGGTGAACTCGGCATTGAACTGCTTGTGGCGGCAGTGCTCCGAGTTGACTTGCGCGAACATGAACAGCTCGACGTCGACTGGGCCCCTCTTGAGTTCTTGTGTGTATGCCTCTACGAGGTACTCAATCTCCGACTTGTCCATGGCCAGGCCCAGCTCGCGGTTGGCGTGGTCGAGGGCGGCATGGGCGCTGTTGTACTCGTCGAACTTGATGGTCGTGGCCTGCGCAGGCTGGCCCTGGCCGAAGATGGCGTCGAGGTTCGGGGCGGTGCGGCTGATGGTCTGCGTCATGCGGTCGTAGAGATGGTCGCGGTTGGGGATCTCGTCGGCTTCGAGGGTGCGGTCGAAGGTGGCGGCGATGACCATGCCGCGCTCGATGCGCTTGACTGCGCCTTCGAGCGTGCAGGTGCGCGCGATCATAGAGGCGAGGGAGCTCCATGGCGATATCGTGCCGGCGCGTGGGCAGATGTAGAAGAGGACCGTCTTGTCGTCACGAGGCTCGCCGCCGCGGTTGACAGCGTCGAGGAGGGTCTGGGCGAGGCGGTCATCGCTGCTGGGGTATTCGCCGTAGTGCAGAATCTGCTGCAGCGTCTTCAACTCATCGTCGCCGAGTTGCTTGAGGGGGTTGACAAAGTGCACCCACAGCGAGCGCACTTCCGTCGCGCCAATGGCCTGGGCGAGGCGCTGCAGGCGGAAGTCGGAGAAGGCGGACGAGCCCGGCAGGATGAGATAGGGGTCCTCGTTAGACGCCATCGTGTGTGACGCCGAGTCGCTTTCTGGGAATCGTAATCGCGGGTGTCCGAAGACCAGAGCGATCGCGGGCGCGTTCACATGGCGGGGGAGGGGGGAACTTTACAAAAAAAATCGGCGCGCGTCACTGCCGCCGAATCCTTGCTCTTTTCCGCGCCGCGACTTTCATCATCCTTTAGATCCGTCTAATTACTATTTCCGATACAACTAAGCCATTGATTGATTCGCGATAAAGTTCCAAGGTTTCGTATGTAGCCTGGTGTAAAGGCAACTTCGCGTCTGATCTTACCCACCTAGGTATGCTCAACTCAAGGCCGTCTTTGCCTCAGCATCCGCAGGCCCGACGCGATCGTTGCAATTTCCTGCGTATCCTACCTATATCAGGATTGCGGAATTACTCAATTGCGCTGCATCTCCTTTATCTCGAATGCAGTGCCGGAATATCATGTTTGAGGGCAATTACCCCGTTGTCGATATAGTCCGACATCGCAACGGTACGCTATCCAACCAAGAACGGCGTATCTCAAGTTTTGGGAATGTGAAACTTGCTCTTATATCTGTCAAAGATGCCATTGCCATGCCAGTCGACATCTTCGGCTGTCTGAATGTCTCAAAAGCTATCCAGATGCACGCCCACTCCCTTCTCTGCGGCCAACTCCATCAAAGCTTTGCCAATCGCGATATCCATAATACCCACGCCGACACTCTTATATACAACAAACCCCTCTTCAAGCCACTTCTGCACCTCGTCATCGTTCCTCAGCCCATCCACCTTCCCCACCTCAAGCATCTGCTCTGGTTTCAGGCCCGCTGCTACCAGCTCACCAGCCTCGTCCATACATCCTTTGATGCTATCAACAGTGATCAACCCTTGGTAGACCCGAGAGGCAAAAAGACCGGAAGGATTGCTGATTTGCTCCAGTAGGTGCGGATCAATCTCTTGCATATCCAAACGATAAGACCCGATTGCAGCGATATACCGAGACTTAGCAAGGCCAGCGTCCGATGTAAGATACGAAGCCGGGAACAAGGGAGATGTACTGGGTGTTGTGCAGAACATGACATCTGCTTCTGTGACCAACTTTTCCAGTGCATCTTCCTTGTCATTGAAAATATCCATCTTGATATGTTCGCCGACTTTCGATTGTGGCAGTGAATCAAGGAGTTCCTTCGCTCTTGCACTTGACCGGTTGACGACTGTGATTTTCCGAATATCGTTCCCTTTGAGGAGAATAGCAAGGCGAATATGCCACTCAGCCTGCTTACCCGCTCCAAATACCACTATGTTCTCAGTCTTCTTCCGGTACCGATACAGCAGCATGCTACCCAGCGCTGTTCTAAACGCCGTCAACTCTGCCGCATTCAACACGCCTATGGCCTGTCCTGATGCATCGCAAATCGTAAGAACACTTCGCAGTGCAGGCTTGGGCTTCTCTCCCGGTGGAGGGTCTTGAGATGGTGCGACACCGACTATCTTCACACCGATGGATGATGGTGTCGTTGCGGACATGAAGAGGCTGACTTGGCCGTTTGGTCGCGCGACATGCGCGCGATGTGGTTGATAGGGAGCTTCATCGTTGCATGAGTATTCTGTAAGAGCTTGATTGAGTGCTGATGCGAGGTTCTGGACGTCGGATGGAGAAATGTTGTGGAGGAGGGATTGGATGTCGGCGTCGGAGAGGACGGTGAAAGTCATGGTGGTTGAGAGAAGGGCCGAATTCAGATGGTCCGGGAACTTGGTGGACTACGTTCGATGAACTTTATGCTGATCGTGCGATGGATTCCTTCCTTGTCTTCCCTTCTGCGCCCTATCTCGGTGTCATTTGCTGTTGCCTAGTGTTGAAGTTGCCGTTATATGCGGAGATGCTTGCCTGCGGGTACTGTCGGCCCATTACCCCACCATGTCTTGGGCGATGGGGGACGAACAAACAGCTCAGCAGCATACCAAGTTTATGATACTGAGCTGTTACTTCATCACCCTCCAGTTTAGGGCGAGTCTCCTGCTCAATGACTTCGTAAATGTGACAGATCTACCAATCTGACGTGGTCCAGATGAGTCGACTTTCTGCAATTCACATTCCACCTGGCAACTTGGAGAATTCAAAGCCGGCTCCATTCAGTCCTCTCGTTGTGGCCATGTGTGATGTGACTGAGATACAGGCGACATTGGTTCGAACGCGCTCTGCCGTGCGAGGTCTTCTTCTTGATCAACGCAAGGCTTGATATCGCCCAATCTGCGGAAGACATCACCACAGCTCTTTCGACGGATGTTACCAAGGCGTGGACTACCAGCGGGTTCCGAGGCGGTCTTTCGAAGCACTGGACTCCCATCTTCACTGACCACTACTTCGTGCTGATGAACAACTAGCATGTCGTCCTTGATCATGTCGAGGAAGTTGCTGAAGTCCTCCGTACAACGTTGATGCTCTCGTAGCTCTTCAATGGTCTAGAACGAGTCAGTGCTGGGTGATATCAAATTACTGCCGAGCATCACTCAGTAGATTCGCGAGCCGAATGCAGTAGGCAATTGATAGCAGCATTACGGGTATAATGAGACCTTAAGCTCACCTGAAGAACTGCGGGCTTCACGTCGACCGTCTTTTGCCCTCCTACTTCGTGAATTGAGAAGAAGGTGTCCGTCGGTATACTGGACTCACGAGGATTTGTCGCCAGGCGCATCTTGCCGTACCTTTCGACCAGGCCAATACCTCCGAAGTACCAAGTTACAAATTCTAGGTAAACGCACCCAAGGGCCCAAACATCGCAAGCAGTAGTCAACTTACCGTCAAGATCACTTTCTGGCGATCGGTAGGTACGTGAGTTGGGTAATCTACCAGTCTTCTGAGTGTCCCACATGTTTTCAGTGTTAAATCGAGTTACCCCGAAATCGGTGATCTTGAGAATGCCGTGACCGCCCGTGGCTGTAGGGTGTGGATACCAAAGGATATTCTGTGGTTTGAGATCCCCGTGCCGGCCAAACAGGTTTCTGATTGACTTGTTGGCATTCAAACCTCCAGATGTGGTGGCTTGGTCACAACCTTCTGTTCTCGTCCTGTTGGGGAGGTTGAAAGCGTTGAGGATTGATGTTCCAGAGAATGTCGCATAACGATGAATACTGTTGAGCCCATCTGCAAGACCCCGGCATTGTTCTATCAGCCATTTGTCTATCTGATTCTTTTCGGGTGGCGCCTCTGAATGTCGCTTCCAGTAGTCGAAAAGGTCAGCGTCAGCCCACGGGAAAATGAGATGATAAGCTGCGCGATGTCGGTAGGTAGCCAACACAGTGATGAGGTGAACGTGGGAATGCCTCCTCGTACTGAGCTTTCTTAAAACTGTCACTTCTTGGCTGAAGGCCTCATCGTCTCTTGAATTTAGAATCTTGATTGCGAAGACATTGGAGCGGCGCTGAGTAGGGACGTTTGTCAGCTTTTCTTTACGTCGTACAGCTGAAGCAATATAGCACTCACATCGGACTGGCTTAGACGGTGGTGGTCGGGATGAATCTTGGCTTTGAAGACTTGACTTGAACCCCCCTCTTTCGCAATCATTGTTTCCGAAAGAAAAGGCAATACAGCTTCACACTCCAGATCTTTATGCGACACACCTTCGCTTGGTCTGTCAAATATGGGTGCCAGAATCCACCGCTGTCGATCTAAAAAGTCATCGGCATCGTCTAGCCTTTTAAATCTGATACTAGGAGATTTATCCATTCTTCGACTGGTCATAGTAGTTGCGCGATCAACATCCTTCGGACCTTGAATCTTCTTAAGTGGGAGGTGTTCGTCGCAAAGTCCGGACTGCACAAAAAGTCGTATCTTAGAAGGCCGCTTCATAAGATACAGTATGGCGAGTATCTTCCTGTATGACATATAGTCCCCGGGAATGACCATAGTCTGCAGCGTCCTCGACGGCTTGCCCATCGTGCTATGGGCCTTGGAAAGGTCGGTCTGTACAACTTTGTCGTGTATGATGTCTCGAATGCGGGACTCCGGGATGAACCTTTGCTGGCGATACGAGATTTCTGAAGCTTGCTGAAGACTTCTGGTTATCGGATGAGTGTATTGGAGCTGTAGTCTGCTCAGCCATCTCTGCGCCAACACCACAGCCGTAAAGGTACCAGCATCCGAACGCTGATGTTCCTGCTTTACTTGCAGGTCTTTTGTCTGAGCTTTCGGCAGTATCTTTCCTGGTGTCCACCTAGTGAGGGCCCTGCCATCATGTCCACCCTTGACGTGTTCACCGTGGGTATCGGGAGGCACCCGAGTAGTCTTGAGATTCTCCGAAGTGTATCGTACGGTAGTCAGATCGGGTGACCGATGATCTAGCTCCTTCGATACCGTTGCTTGCGAGCTGCCTCCAGTGTAGGCAGACGTATTCGAGCCACACTCGAATAAAGGCACGCTCACTGGACGGATCTTTGGTTGTGTCTCTATACAACTGCATCAGTCATTGGGCTCAGACATCGTTGCACTAATAACGCACCTCCATTACCGGTGTCGGTGGGGCTGTCCTCCACACGAGCGAGCTCGTTGCTGCGCGCGCACGCACTCGCTGACGCACGTCTACTGCGTAGCTCTGGGCTCCGCAATCTTTCCTGAAATCTTTGGCCCAACGGAATCATTGAATCAACGCCAAATACTGGAAACCGAGCATGCTAATGGATGGATCCTAAGGCAAACAGGTACAAGGAAACCATAGGGTGTTCACGAACTAGGCTGATCTTCTAGCCTTAAGACCACACCAGGTGCAGTACTCCTCGAAGTGGCGATTTGACGTGGGGTCCAACACTGCGGGATTGCAGTACCCCTGCAGTCGGGACAGGCACAGATTTGTGTAAACAATCTCTTTCGCCCTGCCGTCAACCTTGGCTCAAGGATTGAACGCACGTTGAGTCTCTCCGTATCGAAATACTTGACTGGGTCTAGAACGTCTATGACGACAGATTAGTCAAGAACGACACTGTTCTACCCGGATGAGCAACAAGACACGAGGTGGTACAGTGAAGTAGAAGTCCTCCGCCTGAGTCTTACAGCCAACACCACCACGCTTGTGGCTATGTTAGGTAAACCGTCCACACCACGGGTCGCACGGCTCACGAGACTGATGGAGCTGAGCGAGGCAGATGCGGCGCCATCTGCGCCTCTAACATGCCCCAGGCGCTAATGTACTTGGTGTACCGGGTACGAGCGTGGTTGGTGTTTGTCGTGCCGCCAAATCTGGGTGCAACGTGATACCAACAGAGCGCTCAGCCCACAAGATTATCGGAGAATGAGTATAAAAGTACTGTGAACACAAGCTTCACAATCTGACATCGACTATCTTTCCCCCAAAGCAGACGTCTGCATAATGACTGGACTCAAGCAACTCTTGTCTTTCGGAAAGTCCTCAAAAAAGCAAACAGCTCCGAGCCCGGAGCAATCGGCGGAGTCCAGTGGCGGCGTCGTTCAGAAAATTGACGTCACTGGCATAGACCCGGAAAAGTTGATGGCTAAGCTGAAGCTGAAGTTCGGATTGAAGTTCGAGATTTATGTAGGTAGGCTCCAGGAGAGTGGCAAGGTCGAAGTCCGCTAACCCTGGACTGTAGATGATGCATGATACGTATCACATAACAGCGCCTGACCGGCTTACAGCGGTGCGTCGATGATCTTAATCCATTCTCATAGCCGTGTCTGATGTTACGTAGGATGATATTGAACAGTGCCGGTAACAGGACTCACATACCGGCTCGTCGGGCTGGCATACACCAGATGGCTGCGCAATATTAGCTGTAGGTACCATTGTTCGAATTGGTGTACAGTTGGATCGCCTTTGAAGTGTGCTGCCTGCTGCGATGATCTTGGAATTGTGGGAAGGAAGAGCAGCGGGTTGCAGCCCTCGGCTTGTGGTGTCAGGGGCTGGCGCTAAATACGGCCACAAAGTGGGGCAGCGCTTGTATTGCCGGGCTCACGCCCAACCCTCTTCACTCTACGATCATTTCGTGCGAACGGTACATGAACGACAAGCACAAGCACGCGCATTCCCTGTATCTAATATCGCCTCTTTATCACGGCATGGCGCATACCTAGGGTACCTAGGTAGGCAGTCTCGAATCAGAACGCGATTGCGTGAGGCACTACTTTGCTACCGCGATGGGGCTGGAAGTGTCACTCCCCCACGTTTTGCGCCCCAATGTCGCTATCTACTGTTACGCTGCAGGTTCGCCGGAAGCACTACATCCGACTGCAGGCTGCTCGTAATATCAGCTCACCCCCCTGCGAGAAGCCTTGAACCCAAAGGCTTTACTGCGCCGCAACATTGTTCACCGGCCGTGTTTCCTAATGAGTCCCGCGCTGTGATTTCAGAAGGATGCATTGCTATCTACCCGGACATCGTCAATGAGGTCGGGTATAATATGTGACAGCAGACACAAGGTTTCGCCTCGCATACGCATCTGAAACCGGCTTACCGACTTTCGTGTCCATCTACGAGCCTCGCGCCACCTAGAAACCAACCGCTCCTAAGTCCTCTCATTATCGTAGCCTCTTTGGCCCAACATGTCCACAAGCGATTCTTCAGACGATGAATCCACAAGAGGAGAGCAGTCTCTCAGGACGAAATTATATAACGCTCGGCGGCCGAGTGCGTTTGAGAAAACGTACGGCGACTTCATCCCCGAAGGTGTTTTAGGCGAATTGCTCACAGAGGAGATGATTAAACATGTGTTGAACATCAAGAAGCCGACGCCAGAAGATGACGCATTGGTACAATTCATCAGGACACAGGCGCAGAAATCCTTCGCCATACTTGTGTCTGCAAGATTAAACAAAATCGGCAAGATCATGAAGTGGTTCAAATCAAAGGGCTTGAACGACAGCGACCTACCGGTCACCGATCCCGAGAACGCTTTCTGCAAAAGATCCTGGTACCGTGAGCTCATTGACCATCAGTGGAAGTTCTATGCCGCCAAGTTCTCAACCACGAAATATAACCATGACTTCGAAGAGTCTCGCATACTCCCTTTTACATCCAAAGTAAATGACGATGGAAGAGGCTCTTTCGGAGTGGTCTCGAGATATGTGATGCACCGAAATCATATGGAACCAGTAGGGACTCACTAGCAATGGGGATTTGGCAAGACACAGGCTGACCTTTGTAGAAACTTGACGACGATACGCCTTTCGCTGTAAAAGAGATTCAAGCTACGGAAGACGCGCAAGAAGTAGCAGAACACTGGGAAAAAGAAGTCAAGGCTCTCAGGACGATGAATAGGTTGAATCAAGAGCATATCGTCCGCTTTATCACGGCCTTCCGACGGCGGCGACAGCATGGAGCAGAGGAGCATTACTTGATGTTCGAATGGGCAGATGGCGGCAATCTTCGGACTTTGTGGAAAAGTATGCCCTCACCTACTTTGACCGCACCACTAGTCAAAGACGTTGTCAAACAAGTCCTCGGGCTCGCTAAAGCACTTGATGCTGCCCATAATCTGAACGCGACTGGCGCTTCGTATCGACATGGCGATCTCAAGCCTGAGAATATCCTGGTCTTCAGAGACGGTGGATTGATTGGCACTCTCAAGGTTGGCGACTGGGGGGAGGCTAGAGAGCACGGCCAGGCTACCGAGATGCGCCCTAGCAAGACAACGGCAAAGTATGGGACCCGTCGTTATGAGGCGCCGGAGGTAGAAACGGGTGTCACAGCCAAGTGGTTGGGGCAATCGACTAAGCGGCGTTCACGACTGTACGATATCTGGGCAATGGGCTGCATTACCCTGGAACTCACTATATGGCTCCTGTACGGCATGGAAGGCCTCAACCGTCTCGATCGCGAGTTGGGATATGGCAGCTTCTACCAGACCAGTGTCGTGAACGGGAAAAAGGTGGCCCAAGTACACAATGCTGCTGTGCGCTGGATGGATCGAATGGCGGACGATCCCAGGTGCCAGGTGGGTATTACTGCCATTGGTAATCTTCTGGAGCTAGTGCGAACAGCCTTGCTGGTTGTGAAGCTTCCGCGAAGGCTTGGTACAACACTCTCTAGCATCCCCGAGAGATCACGCACAGATTCATTCGTAGATCCACACATGGACGTCGCTCGAGTGACATCTCAGAACATCGCCCCCGATGAAGAGGCTATCGAATCGACCCCACAGCCCGCGATAGATGTCCCTTCTTTTAGCTTCACCCCCGCGGAGCCAGAGCCCGACAGATTCCCCATACAGCCAGAGCCCGAGGCCCGCGGACCTTCTCGGTGTCTGGCAACCGAGTTCCGCAAACGTGTTGAGACCATCAACGAAGAAGATGAAGATGAAAGCTATTGGTACGCGCACACTCTTGACGCACAGAAGCTCGCGGGCCTTTCACTGTCGTACTCATATCCAAGTGCGTCATCTTCACCATCAGATTACGGTCCAGCAAATGGGTATCAGGCACAAGATGTCGCAGTCTCAATGCAGAACGGGGTGAGTTCATGAAACCTAGGAGCTTTGACGTTCAGCTTGACTAACGCGGTATTATTTAGGATGATTATGGGACGCCAGACCTTGACGAAAACGACTGGAAGTATCAGCCCGGGAATGAATTCGCGACTGATCTGTTCAAGTCTCTCAGGAGCTCTGATATACTTGAGCCCTCTGACCGGGCTATATCATCACACCTCTGTGATCAATGCGTGCGATTCCGGGATGAGGTCTCCAGTCCAGGGTTCGCCATTTCATACGACATGAGCGTAATGAGAACGACCGCGGGCGAAAAGAGATGTGATCTATGCATTTTACTGTGGCACGTCGTGCAGAATGGGCGAATAGAGACCTCGACTATCAAATTCGAACGGACGGGTCCTTTTTTGAGGATAGAGAGTTCCGGTCCACGTATCTTATCCATCGTTCGAGATCCTGAACAACTGCTGCCGCCTACCAGCGAGTTCCAGTTAGGATTCGTTGGGCTTCCGGAGGCCGGTCGCTCCACACATCTAGAGGTCATCAAGTACTGGCTCAGTGACTGCGATAGACACCACGGATGCAAGCCGCTCGAGCATGCTGCCACTGGGGCCAAGCTTCGATTACCGACCAGGTTACTCGACGTTGGAAAAATGGGAGACGAGAGTGTTCGGCTGTGGGCCACGAACCCTAACGACTCCGGCGAATGGATTGCATTGTCGCACCGATGGGGACTTCAACACCTTTCGACTACCCCCGAGACTCTCCAGTCACATCTTGATGGCATTCAACTCAGCGCTCTCCCAGCCACTTTCAGAGATGCAGTGATAGTGACTCGCGCCCTAGGGCGTCGCTACCTCTGGATTGATTCCCTTTGCGTTATCCAAGGGCCGGGCGGCGACTTCAACACCGAGGCAAAACGAATGGAAGACGTCTACAGCGGCGCTTACTGTGTGATCGCTGCAAGCTGTTCAGCTGACCATTTTTCGGGTTTTCTCAAGCAGCGAAAACGCAGGAGCTATGTTGGTTTGTGCCGCGAAGGCAAAGGCGAGACACCCTTCTATGTGTGCGAAAGTATCGACAACTTCAAGGACCATGTTCTCGATGGCGAGCTGAACAGTCGCGGGTGGGTGTTACAAGAGCATGCTCTGGCTCGTCGAACACTATTCTTTACAGAACACCAAACGTACTTTGAGTGTGGAAAAGGCGTACGTTGTGAAACCTCTACAAATTTGAGCAAGTAAGTCGACATGCTATTATCAGATTTAATCCATCACACTAATGAGCACAGTAAACTTTGTGCTTTCCTGGGAGATCCAGACTTCCCACACATCCTCTACAACGCATCTCAAGGCGAGAAGATTTTGCGTTACCAAGAGCTCTACCGCGAATACTCCCGACTTGGTCTATCACAGCCATACGACCGACCGACTGCTATTGATGGACTTCAACAACGCCTTCTCCGCACGATGCGGGTAAAGGGTGGCTTCGGTATCTTCGATGAAGGTGTGACGCGTGGCCTGCTCAGAAGAAGTCTTCTTTGGCGCCGCGGTGTCGACACCCCAAGTTTGACACGTATCCATTTCCCGTCATATAGTGTTGTTTCTAATGTGCCATCATGGTCGTGGATGGCATACACGGGCGGAATCGATTACCTACAGCCCGAGTTCAATAATTTCGAGTGGGAGGACCTACAATCGCCGTGGTCACCCAAGGCCCCAGATAATGTATCCAGCACAGACTTCAACGTGGCTAATATGGCACTCCACGCCACAGCGCGGGAATATGATCTCGGTGCAGCGGTGCAGGGCGAGGGTGATCTGATCTTCGACACACCAAATGGGTCTGCTAGACCAGAAACGGTGTGCGTTGTGCTTGGAAAGGCAAGAGGCAGTCTTTCTACCCAGACGCAGAGACACTATGTCTTAATCATCGCGGCAATAGGACGAAGGGACCGGACCGTGAAGAAGGTGTACGAGCGCGTAGGCACAGGATATCTGCCTGGGAAGTGTATTTCACCCAGTGGATTCAGCGTGATGGTCCATTGAATGACGACAACCGCCATCATAAAAAGTCGTTGCGTCTATTGGTATATATACTATTTGCTCACGTAAATGCGTCATGTCGAGATAAAATCGTACATACTCAGCGCCAAAAACTCCACGACAGCTGAGAACCCTCATAAGGTGAGCGCGCACAGTAATACCACTCACTTCCAATACTACTATGTGCTGCACATAGCTGTAGGCAATACGCGGCAGCGTTACCCAGACTAGAGCTCAGTCCATGCCAACGTATTTGAACCACAACGGTCGACAATCCTCCCGGTTCAGCCACTTCTCGCCGTCTGTAAACTGACCAGTGACGCAACCGGAACACTTTGGACTGTTCGGGCAGTTGAAAAAGGGTATGTGTTGGTATCCAATGTCTCGGAACCAGTGTATCTTGCTCTTGTCTTCGAAGAGTCCCAGTGCGACGCTGTGTACTGGAGCGTCGCCCCAACGTTCGTAGAAGAAGCCTCCAGCGCGATCGAGATGGTCGAAATAGTCTCGGTACTTTTTGCTCCTCCAAAAGCTCAGATCACCGATCTCGAAATTGGACCAGAAGTGGCATGTTGAGTAGCCATGGGCTTTTTTGTTGTTCTCAGGCCGACGCTGGTCGTCTTCCAGCCACTCGCGCGCATTGTTTGGATGTACGTATCCCGGATTGTCTTGGATGAACTTCTTCGTTTCTGGCCACAACGTCGCAACGCTGTCGGCGTTATCGTAGATGTTGATGTTGAAGCCGTACGTTTTGTTGTGGTCTTGCATCCAAGCAAAGACATCGTAATCGACATCGCAGAAGAAGTGGACATTTGGTTCCACCCGCCAGTAGTATTGGATGTCCTTGAGCGCAGGGTGCTCGCTGAACATGCCGCTATTCCACCGACACATCTGGTGATAGGACTTCTTGCCCATGTACTGTACATCCAGCGACGTGAGCAGGGACACAGACTCCTCGTACAAGTCCATGTTTATCCACGACGGAATGTCCCAGTGTTCGGCAGGGACCAGTTCGTATCGTACTTCGGCGTTGGTAGCTGCTCGCGTGGCCTTTTTGAACTCTTCGGTAAAGGGCTTATCGTTGAAGAAGGTCCAAGGGTAGTTGAACTTGTGGTTCCACGTACGCTCAAGGTCGCGCATGCTTTGCAGCATGTCGTGGAGTTCTTCATTGCGTACTAGACTGAGAATCGTGGCGTTGATGCGCGCGCTCGCGGGATTGTTCGGGGCGTAGTTGTCACCGTCGACTCGTCGCAGCGGCTCGGGAGGTTCGCCGGAGGCTGGTCATATAGTTAGTATCTATACTGAGTTCATGTCATATCTCAGGCTGCCTTACGATCCAATTGGGGGTCATGGTCCCAGTCGCCGAATTTGTTGGTCGGAACTTTGCTCGGAATCTCGACGGGTTTCTCGGAACCAGGGGCCTTGAGGATTTGCACAAACAGATAGACGAAGATGCAGAAAGTGGCGCCTGCCAAGTAGCGCATGCCCTTGGGAAGCGCCATGTTAACGAGCAGTTGCAGTTGCGGTGGCCGAGGGTTGGGACACAGTCCCGCCTCAGAAAAGTCGCAGGAGCGCTCAACCTCGAGTTTCACAGCCGGCGGTGACGCGGTGCGTGATCGCGCTAGCCTACATCGGGCATGATGTCTCTGTCAAGTGGAGCCGAATCAACCGCCGCAAGTCACCACAACGATATCACTACTACCGGGATCTTATTTCCACTGGCGTCATCGCGCGACGGCAGATGAAGGACGCGTTACTATGGCCCAAAACGCGAAAATCTCCGGACTCACGGACGAGTTAATACAGTCCATACTGAGACACGATCCTGCAGCAAACAAACAGGCCTACAGACACGCCAGGGAGATTGCATCGCGCAATCTTCGAGGGCACCAGTATGCAAGAACAAATCAATTCGACGTCACGGCGAGCTTTGCCGGACTGGATGAGAAGTTCCGCATCAAGAACCGCGATGACCTCGCTGATGCGCTCCAAACACGGCTTCAAAAGTTGGAGGCGTACACGAACAAGTTTAAGCCAGAGTTCCTATCTCTGTTACTCCAGCTAGCCGATCGGCCTCTTGAGAACACCCAGGTCGAAGCCTTAGAGCTGCTTAGACCCCCTAGCCCTCCGCCGCCACTGACTTGGGCGGAGATCCTTGAAGACGACCCCTACAGCGATGAGGATATCTGGAAGGACATCGACTATGCCGTAGACTCTTCGGGCGACGAAAAAACGCCCAAAAAGCGCAGGAAGGCCCCAAGCACACCACCGACCAATTTCGACGCAGATGATACTTTTGATCCCGAAGCCTGTGTCTCATCGACAGAGGAGAGTCCTGTTACCAAGCTGGAAGATGCGCAATTTTGGACCTCGGGCGCGGATGGCAGTAGCACCGGCGTGAACATAACAGAGCTGCATGCTGTACGAGAAACGCTATTCATGCTTGGTGGTCTGAAGACGAGCTTGTACCGGATCGAAAAGGACAACATTTTCCCCAATGAGAAACATACTGTTGACAACAATCAATCAACCGCTATCGCACATCTCCTTTCTCAATTCGCCGACACTGGAACACGTATAGAGGCGATAAGACGCTGGACGCTGCAACAACGAGCCAAGAAGCCACCATCATCACCTCTTGTCCAGACCTTCGAGGCTGTTGTACGGAAGCGACTACTTGACTTCGACCACTCGCTATCCGCGATGCAGCAGAGATATCTCATTCCTGATACGCCGCTTCCTGTCAGTTTGTTGCCATTGCACGGTGATGTGCGGGCACTATGTCACCCTATCTTACGTCTGGCGCCGATTGTTGACGATCTGAGTCGATCAACGGCGACTCAAGATCCGTCGATACCTGTAAATCCCTTCTCTCACCTGGAAGCATTGTACGAGCAGACTACGCTAGCGCAGATGACACTGGAAGACGAAATCTTTGCATACATGTCGAAGATTTTCTTTGAGTGCTTACAGACATATTTAAAGCCAATACGACGGTGGATGGAAACCGGCGAGCTTGGTCCCGACGAGGAGAACTTCTTTGTCATCTCTAGCGATGCATTGAGTGAAGCTGCTTCCCTTTGGCACGACCGCTTCATGCTCCGCTGTAATCTTGAGGAACACATGCAGTTGCCTGCGTTTCTACAGCCAGCGGTCAAGAAGATATTCAATACAGGCAAAAGCGTTATTTTCTTGAAAGAACTGGGCATTTACGATACAGGTTTACATTCCTCACTGGCGGAGCCGCGCCTGGACCATGAAACAGTCTGCGATACGTCGAATGACGTACCCCTTTCGCCTTTTCCAGAACTGTTCCAGACGGCCTTCGAGACATGGATACGTAGCAAGTACTCAGTCGCCTCAAATGTTCTTCGTCAACACATCTTCGAGACTGATGGCCTGATGCGTGTGCTCCATACATTCGAAACCCTTTACTTGGGCAGGAACGGTGCCGTGTTCGAGGACTTTGCCACTGCAATATTCGAGCGCATGGATGCCGGCAGACGAGGTTGGAACGATCGATACGTCCTCACGGAGCTTGCACGCGGCGTGTTCGGCACGATTCTGTCTGGCCCAGACACAGAGAAACTTGTCGTTCGTTCTATGAAGTCGAAGGCGCAGGGAAGCTCGGTCAAGGGTCTAGCTGCCGTTTCCGTGGATTATGCAGTATGTATCGTAAGAGCGCTCTTTTGTATCCCAGCTAACGATATTTTTAGGTGCCCTGGTCGATTCAGAACATCATCCAACGCTCGTCCATACCCATCTACCAAGAGATCTGTACATTCCTGATGCAGATATACCGAGTCAAATACCAACTGCAACGCGCACGCATTCGCGCATCCAGAAAGAATCGTCAACCGATGTTCTACAGACTCCTGCAACGCTTGAATTGGTTCGCCGATGTCCTCCGTTCTTATGTCACCGAGACTGCCGTCTTCCTGACCATACGAGGCATGAATTCGGCAATGGAAAAGGCCGATGACATCGACGAGATGTCCCAGATTCACATCAAGTGTATGGAAAGATTGCACCAGCGCGCGCTCTTGTCGAAGGAAGTGAAGCCAATCCACAAAGCGATCATCGAACTACTGGATCTTGGTGTGTTGCTTTCGCAGGCTGAGGGTAAGAGCCACAAGCATGTAGATCAGGAGTTCGAAAGACTTCTCCCTTTCGTGGCAGCGGGTCTGCGAAGCACGGCGAGGGTTGGGGAGCCCATGTGGGAGCAACTTGCAGATCGATTAGAGGCATTCTCAAATACCACCAAGCCCTAGTTCCAGCATGCTTTATCGTAGCTCTGTAAATGTAGAGATAGTTCGGAAACTGCAGCGCCACATCTTCTTCCAGGCACTCACATGGACTTGTGCATGTGCATTATCTGTACTTCTCATACACAATATGTTGACGTCGTCCATGGGCGTTCTTCTCCATCTCCTCCGCTCAATGCTCTCGTTGGTAGTCATCGAAGCTGCGCGCAGCGGAAACCCAATGAGCCAGGAATACCACCTGCTTTCGGAGAGGAGAGTCATTGAATGGATTCAGTGATCGTTTTGAGCTTCGGATGTTTCGATGTCGTCACTACTTGACGAAGGCTCTCTCTGCTTTTCCCCTTTTCGCGGTACATCGTCCGGATGAGGATTACCCTCGTGATGCCCGTCGCCTCGTGCTCGGCTCCACAATATCATGAAGAAGAGAAAACCGAGGAGCACGGCGATGATCGTAGGTGCTGCGGGATGGCGCATTCTTGTTGTAAGTATCGCCTTCGCTTGTTCGCGGATGCCGTGGGAAAATGCTACGCGGGCTATCGTGTCACCACCTTTCGCGTCTCGGGGTCACCCAGTAGTGCCGTCCCAATCTCGAGTTTGGCTTTCCACTCTCTTGTTGGGTAGCTTGGAAGTAAACTCGTCTCACAGTCTCTATCCCGGAAAGACCCCCAACAACCGCCTCATGCGCATGCACGCGCAATGACGCTCTGACTGATCAAGTTTCGTGTGTAATCTTCGCACTGA